CAGTAGGAAAAGGCAGACTAGGAAAGCCAAATCTTATGCAGTGTTGGAATATCAAAAACAGTTGAAAGTCAAACATCCATCACTAATGTGTACAAGGTCAGGCAAAACCCTTGCTCAAACTGTGGGTCAATTAGTCCTTCTTTTCTCCCCTGGGCCCAAAGTGTTATCACCACAGAGGACAATGAGTTAAAGCCAAGTATGGTCCTCTGGAAATCAGAGGTCATGGAACAAGAGCTGAAAAAAGGGGTTCCAAATATTATAAGTCTTTCAACACTGTTTTCTAGGTATTCTGTTAAATATCCCACTGGGAGGCTTCTTTTCGTCAAACTAAACCACATTTCTTTGGACTCTCTTCTCTGAGTGATTTCAAATATATAAAGAATTTAGATGAAAAACAGATCTGTATTTTTTCATTGTTTAAAACATGGTAGTAAATGCTCACTTCTCAGAAGAGTGATAGTGATTTTATTTATAGAAATTCCCAAAGTGACAGTTACAGAAATAATCTGTGGCAAACAAGTTGCAGAAGACTTTTTCCCTCAGTCAGATCATATCCTTGCTTTCCAATGCTGTGTAATAATCTCCATGAAAAGAAGCTTTATTATATTGCTCTGATCATTGTTTTCACTTGGTAAGAGCAAATAGTGAGCATAAACTATAAAGCTGGGGAAAACAATAGCCTCCTAATAGGATTGTTATAAAGAAAATGGTCTCACTGTTCTCTGGGGCCATTGAGAGAAGAAATTAGACTAATTTGCAGCCAAGAAAGATGTAAGTGGTGTATCTGACAGGAAAATGGAAAAAATACAGATAGTGAAAAAATGACACTATGGGGCTACTTCAGGAGGTTGTGGATGATTTCAGGAACAGAGGATAAATGAAGATGTGTAGGAATATCCTGAGTATGTGTTGACCAATTTGCCCACAGTGCCACAGGGATCTGGGAGAGACTGTGAAAGGTGAGATTTGTATACACTAATGCAGCAGCCCATTTTAGGGAGCCCTGAATGCACTGCATCTGCCCTGGAAAAGAGCATGGCAATAAGAGCTTGATCCTCCATTAGGGCACAATGTGGAGTAGATAACACCAAATCCCCTTCAGTTCTGACCCTACAATTCTATTGTAGTCTATACTATAGACTACACTCTCTGAATATACTCTCTAGTATAGACTTCACTCTCTGAAGTAACTTACTAGAAATGTCATATACTTGTATATGTGTGCACTGGAAATCCACACAAGTTACTAAAACAGAGCCAAATATTTAGACCATTCCTAGATAGTATTTCTAAATGCTATTTATCCTCAGGAACCCTGAAACATTGAGTTTTTGAAAAGGTTTTAGTCACATTTTCTTGTTTGTGTTGGTAGTATGAAGTTTTTACATTAAATAATTTAACTTATTAGCTTCCAGAACTTGTTAATCATGTGTATTTTAGGGATCACAAAACCTTCCAAACAGACAATTTCAAAGCAGAGCAGACTGCTTAACAATCCTCACTAAACTCATGGTCCAGCTCTAGCTGAAAGAAGAGCAAAAGCACTACACACTTAAGTTGCCGTATATAAATAAGCCAAATATGACAAATAGAAGTTCTCCTGATTCAGCAAAGCACTTAAACAGATACTCACATTCCCTAGATATCATAGGAACATGAAGTATTCAAGTAGGCCTGCCATTTAGGAATTTTAAGACCATGCTTTAAACTCCAGTTTTAATTCCTAATGACAGGTTTGAAATTAAAAGGAGAGAGGGCATAAATCTGTGGTCAAAAGAGACTTAACAACAGAGGGTCCCATCACTCCTTCCCAGTGATCAATTAAAAATCTGCATGTTTTTAATAATTCTGATACTTTAGCTGTTAAGAAGCTGAAGAAATTAATAATTAAAGTTCTCTTAGGAACCCTGGTTCTGCCTCTGCCCTCTACATGTCTGTCTTCAGGGTTTCCCATAACATGCTTAGGAAGGGACTGGTGGTTTTTCTGCAGAGAAACTAGAACTTTGCTCTAAACCGTTACTGCCCCAAAACACAAAAGGAATTGATGTGTACACAAATGACTTTCCTATTAATATGTCCTTTTCTCCTACCGAAGAGAGCAAACCAGTATCGTTATGGCCCATGATGGCACACTTGGGCACAGTGCAGAAGGCTGCAGCCTGGCTTTGGTGACCTTGGCATGGCGAACATGGAACTGGAAAAGGTAAGAGCAATGATACAAAACACCAGAAATGGTATGGCTGTGTCTTCATGCCAAAGCAGCTTTTAGGGCTGGAGTAAAGCAGTGAGAACATGCATGAATCTCAGATGGGATAAAGACAAGGGGAAAAGAAGGAAGGAAAAATGAAAAGCTGGAACAGGTGCCACAGATCAGAGGTGCAAGAGGTCACAACATGAAAGGGCACAAGAGAGAAACTTGAGTAAAAACAACTGTGGCACACTACAGTGGCCCACAGGTTTGAAACTCAACTCTGGAGAGAAGAACCAAGGAAATATTCAGAAGAGGCAGGGATGTGTAACATGACTGGAAACAGCTTTTGAGTGAACTACTGTCAAGTGTTGCCAGCCTGTTATTATAGCAAATGAATCCATGTGTCTGTTTCTTTTGTCCTCAGAGTTGTGTGGATTTTCTTCAGCTTCAGCACATGGCGCCACACACATGCATGCCCACACACATGTCTTTTCTGAACTAAAAGGATGTATGAGCAATGTCATCCCTTAGTGCCCCTTTTAAAAAGTTTTAAACTTTAAATTAGGTTCCTAAACGAGAAAGTAGTCTCAAGCAAAGCGTTGGTAGATGAAAGGTAGCATGGAGTGCATTCACACAGGATAAATAATTGAATAATTGCTAAGTTGGAAATGTATCCAAAGAAGCCAGGAATTATTATAGAATTCTTTTTTCTTTTGCTTACACAAACTTTATAATAGCTGTTTTCTCTGACTGTCCTTTTGTATAAACTGGGAGCAGCCTCTGGGCTGCTCTCAAATTTACTTTGGCTTCTGCAATAGCACTTAAGAATTACTGGAACTGTGCAGTCTCTGGCCATGCCTCCAGTGCTGTTGGAGGCTGGGGCACAGAGCCATCCCAATCCCCTGGGCTGCAGCGGGGCTGCTGCCTCCAACCACCTGCTCTGTCACTGCCTGCTCCCACCTGGGAGGCCGCGCTCCGGGCGGGAATGTTTGCACAAAGCCCTTGCTCCCATGAAGCAAGCAACTTCATCCTTGGCTGTTAAATGACATAGAGAGGGCTTGTGGGGTTTTTTTAGCACTGTGATATGTAAATCAAATGGTTAAAAAGATTTTCACAGAATTGAAAAGATTTCAGCAATGAGGAACTGTGAAAAATGTGAAAGGGCACTATTTTCTCCATAAGTCTTATTTCAGATAGCAGGATTGGGCCATGCATGGCATGATGCTTCCTGCCCAGAGACATCACCCTGTATGCATAAGGGCACAGCGGTCTGCGGGAATGCTGAATACTACAGTCTCAACACTTTGAAAGGAATATGTTCTCTGAATTTGGATACTGTATTTACAATTAAAGAAAATACGATTACCCTGTGGTGAAGTGCTTTAGGGTCAGAGTGCTCCAATGTAAAGAGAGCAAAGGGGAAAATTCTCTCACCCAGATGTGGGTATGTAAACATATTTTAAACTAAGTATACACGTTTACATACAATGCATTCGCTGTTTATGCTGTTTTTAAAACGCCATATGTAACGAAAATTATGCAAATATTTAGAAAAATACCTTAACCTGGGTAAGGTATATACCACACTTAATATTTCAATAAGGGCACATGCAGTGCTTTTATGGCAGTGCCAAAAGTAACATTTTGAAAAATGACCCTTCGGTAAAACTGTCAGGCACGGAGTGTTGAGTCCAGGTACCTGCCAACAGAAACCTTTGGGAGGATGTCACTGCGAGAGGTGGAACAATGCCGGGGTCTCTATCTGGATTTACCAGAGAACTTGTAAAACATTCAACATTAGCACAGTATTTATGGGCTTCCTAGTCAGTAATCTGCTGGACTGCCAACAGCTATTTTGAGCCCTTTCCCGTTCTGGGCAAGGCAGTTTCACTTGCATAAAACAGACGGGCAGGTGCCCTTAAATCTATCATTAAAGGGCTCTTGGCCGACGCTGCCTGATCCGCGCCCCGCGCAGCAGCTCCGCGCCGCTGCCCCGCTCCGGCCCCGCCGCTGGGCGGGAGGAGACGCCCCTGCGCCTCGGCGGCTCTCGCAGTATTCGCCGGTTACCTGCAAATCGCAGACCGCCGAGTCCTGAAAGCCCGAGCGCTCCTTAACAACGCGTAAATAATGGAGGACAGGAGGATGAATGAGTGCGGCGGGCGGAGAGCGGCCTGAGCCTCACCCCGACGGATCGGGGCGCCCAGGAGGTGAGGGGCAAGAAGCTTTGGGTGAAAAATCATCGCCTTTGAAGCATACCTCGGAGCTGACCGTGCTCGGGGGACAAGGGGAAGGGGGTTACCCACCTAAGGGCTTCGCAGGGACACTACCCAGGGAGGGCCTCCCGGCATTAACCGCAACGCGCACTGACTCCCAGTACCCCCGCAAAATATCTCGAAAAGGAAGGTGGGGGGGAAACTCTTTATTTTCATTGTGGTTGCTCCTGGCCTCCCTGCCCGCCTCCCCGGCGGCGCTCCGCGGTGCCAGGATTTCCCTGCAGCCCGCCCGCCCTCCCCGCCCGCAGCGCCGCCGGCAGCGCCGCCTCCCCGCGGCAGCCGCTCGCCGCCCGCGGCCCCGCGCCGCGCCCCCGGCACACGGCGCGCCGCCGCCCGCGCACTGACAGACGCTCGCAGGTGCCGTGCTCGCCCCGAGCCGCGGAGGGGCGGCCCCGCTGCCCTCCTGGCTCCGCACCGGCGGCAGGGAGGTAGCTCGGGAGGGAGGAACGGCGCGGGAGCAGCGGCAGCGCCGTAAGTCGGGGAGCGGGGCGCGGAGCGGGAGGGCCGCCAGCACCGGGCTGCGCGTCCGGCACTGCTTCTCCTGACCTGCCGAGCCTCCCGCTCGGGGGGCTAGGAGGGAGGGTACGCATTTCGGGGTAGCCAGAGAGAGTACCCATTAATGACCTTGTCCGGCTGCTCGGGAGGTTCATGCCGGAGCTATCGCTTAGAACGACTCGGGGTGTTTCTACATCACTGAAATTCCGAGCTGAAATTCTCCCCTGTATCGGTTTAAATTTCCATCCCAGTGTATTTTGGCATATCTGATTTTATGCCCTTGCCTTGGGGGTAGAAGACATACCCAGCCTACACTCCCCCGAAACAGGCTGCGCTCCTTTTTGTGCGGTGTGTCCCCTTTAGCCGCGCCTTCCTGCGCGGGGCTAAGAATAACCGTGCGCTGGAGTGCGCTGCTCCCTGCCCGGCTGGGGCTGCACCGAGGGCAGGCACGGCGCTGGGTGCCCGGTGTGATCCTGGCTATCGGGCTAAGAGTTCAAGTCCGGAAGTCAAATTTGAGAATTTGGGTTGGGTTGCTCATGAAGAAATGCGGGCTGTAGACTAATAAGAAGGACTTGATTTATTTGCAGTTGAAATTTAAAAGAGACCAAAATAAAGGAAGCAATTAGTTTAGAAGACTTGCGTCATTGTAGATTGTTGCTAGTTTTACAAATAGGAAGGAGGCTTATTATGAAATGTTTAAGGTAACGAATATGATCATGATCTCTTACTTTCCTTTGAAAAATATCTGGGGGAGGGAGGCAAGGACTTCGTGCATAGACCATTAATTCCAGTTACATAGGTTGTAAGGATGTAACACGATTCAGGAAAATATAGATGAAAAAGATCAGAAGGTTTAAGGTATGAAAATCTAAAGCTGAATAATTCTTTAGATACACACTACCAGAAATCTTATAATCCATGTGCCATGGCTCAGATGTTTAGAGGAATGACAGAGATACCAAAAAAGGCATCATCATAGCGCAATTCTAGAAGCAGAATTTTCTCCTTCCCTACAGAAAAGGAAAGCACATTTCTGGAAGCAAGAAGTGACAGATGTGGCATCTCGGCAGCTGGCTAAACATAAAAGCATGTATCAGCAGGTGATTACTGTTGCAAGGATTTATTTTTAAAGTGTCTTGTACTGAAAGGCTTCAGCCTTTTTTAGCATTAGCATTAAGATTTACTTGCACTCTATGGTATGTTAAAAATAGTCTTTCAGCAGAAACATTCAGAAAAGCAAGAGAAAACTCCTATGTTAGAGGCACTCCTTGCTTTGAACATTTGTTTTGCATTACTGCATGTGAAGGAGAGGAACTGAGCAGGTTCTTTGGTCGGTAGGATAGTACTGAAGGGAATGATTTTTCCTGGCCTCAGCATAAGCCAACGGTATCTGGGAAGGAAACAATGGGGCCTATCTTCTTAGATTAAAGATAATCACAGTTACTGTTCTCTGGGCAGCACCGTGTATGTCCACAGAAGTAAAAATCAGGCTGCAGAAACTATCTCTGGTTCTGCCTCTCTTTTGTGATTGGTAAAGCCAGCCTGAATCACCAGGAGGTGGCCTGGGTGAGTTTTAGAAAGGAAAGAGATGGATATCACCTAAGAGGCAGCCCAGAGCCACTCTTTCCCTGAGGCAGTGGCAGCGTGGGTCTGCACCATCCCTGTTTGACTGCTGTGGCTAAATGTCATATTGACTTGAAAGAGGCATCTAAAACTGTTCCAAACCACCTGTATCAGCTTTACTGTAACCAACAAAAGCCACAGTTCATGGCAGAACATGTTTTGCTCTCAGCTTTTCATAATTAGGTAGGCTGCTTTGGTTTATAGTCTTCTGACCTAGATGGTTTCTTCTAGAAGAAATTCTGGTCCTTTGCCCAAGCTTTGAGAAATAGTTTAGGGAAGAAAAGGGAACTTGAATTTTAAAAAATTTCTTTCTGCCATGCAGAATTTGCTGTCAGGCTCTACTTCTTGCTAGTAAGACTGTGTGTGTCCCAGGGGCTCAGCAATCCTCTCTGACCAGTTCTTCCTCCTCTTCCTCACCCTAGTTAACACTAGTTAACAGAATTGCTGTGGATCAGGTCACCTGATGTCTGTTTGGCTTTTCATAATGATGTAAACCACCACAGGCTTTCACCCTCCTGCATGCAAATTTTACTTTTGGAAACAAACAAATAAAATAATCTTTTTTTTTTCCCTCTCATGATCACATCAGAGTAAATATATTTTCTCAAGATCTGAGCCATCTCATGGAGAACTCTCCTTCCCCCAGTGGTAAAACTGAACTAATTGGGTGGTCTGTACCTAAAAGCCATGTATCTCCATGAGTGCAGTGCTTACAGGGAAGGCAATTGGCTGAAGGTGTTGTTTGTTTGTTTGTGTGATAGCAAGGTGAATTTCCCTAATAACCTGAAGTCTGAACTTAAACGAGGGTGTGGGAAGAATTGTGTTCGCGTGTTGGGTAAAGAACTGCTTTTAAATTATTTCCTCTTACTAAGAAGCAGATAGGTTAGGAGGCAATGAAAGCAGCTCGCGGCTCGGGGGTGCTAAGGGATGTGTCTGGGTGGAGCAGTGAGAGCAGAGTCCTGGCTCTTCTGCAGAGTTCAGTACATCCTGTGTGAAGCAGGATGGCGCAGTAAGGTGTGACTTCTCATGAGCTCAAGTAAAGCTCATGCTGAAGAAGAGACACACTTCTAATGCTGTGTCAAAATAAGAAAGATTTCTGGTTGACACTCATGCAGATAAGCATTGCTTACAGTATTTTACAATGTTCTGTATTTACATTCATAATTGACATTCCTAATGTTATTGAGTAGCGATGTTGATCCAGCATGGTAACTGCTGGGAAGGTGAGTCTGATGGGAGCAGCTGGAGCTGGCTGACAAGACTAACTTCCTCATAGTTCAAGGGTTAAATCAAGACTCAGTGAAGCCTCAGAAAATACACTGCCAAGATAAAATGGGATGATTACAAGAGGACAAAGTTGGCCAGGGTGACAAGATATATTTATACCTTTACTTAGTTTCATTGATATTTGTGGAATAAATAGTTAAGTATAGAAACAAACATTTGTCTTATGGTTTTACCACTAGTCAAGTCTACAAGAGCACAGTTAATAATCTTTGTAAGCAACTGTGAGATTTTTCTTTTGAGACGCTGAATGTGTTTTACTCCTTTTTGTGTTGTGTTTCTTTTTTTTTTAAAAAAAGGAAAGATAAGCCATTTGCAGGCCATTTACAGACTGAGCCTACAGCCAAGTAGCGCTTTTAGTGCCTAAAGCTCTGAAAATGTGAGTCGTTTTTGAATGCTCAAACTAAATTGTATCCTCATGATCTTAGTAGCTTTTAATGCAAGACCATTTTACTAAAATGTATATTTAGCACAAGTAATTTGAATTACAGTTATTCTTATCTTTGAAATTAGCGAGAGTGTTGCAATTCTCTTAAAACTTGATGACCTAGTATCTCATGAATGCCAGGGAGCCACATTAAGGGTTTCAACCCCCACTATGTGTGGTAAAACAACATACAACTTAACTATGTAAATGTTGTGTTCATGCTGTTTTTACTTGCATGGAATCATAGAAAAAAAGCTCACCAAATCTGATACACTGCTTTGATTTCTATCAGAGAGGTCAACGGAGAACATGTTAGATAAGAAATTAAATGGACTGATACTGTGAGTTTTTGTGCTGGGTCTGAACGAGCTAAGTGAACTTTTCTGTGGTTACATGTAAACAGCAGCTGACCTTCTGTAGAGATACAAGAGCTGATGACAAGCTGAGACTAGGTATGACTTGCTTAATCAGGTCTGCAAGCTTGTTTAGGTGCATTTACATGGCAATTAATTTTTTTTAAGTCATCTCTAAGAACTTTCTAAAAATAAATACTACTTCATATCTGTGTTTGGAAGATCTAAGATGTAGGGCTTGGTGTATTTTTTTTTTTCATCCCTTTGAAATACCAGGTGTTTCAAGTCCCTTTCTCACTATTTTGCTATAGAAATTCTATATGTATCTGAGGGTTTGTGTTGTACCCTAAACAAATGAAACAGGTGTTGAGTCTTCATTCCAAATGTGGGGGTTTTTTCCTCTGAGAATATTAGGCAGTAGCATTAATATAGTAAATAAAAGCAAACTGTTAACCTGAAATTTCCTTTTTTTTTCCTAGTTAAGAAGTCTGTACAGTATAACATTAAATTCCAGCAAACCCAAAACCCTAATGCCTATTGTTCTGGCAAAAGCAAGTAGCCATAAGTTGGCAAAAGCCTGTAGAAAATGGTGATACATATATAAGTGCATTAAGGTAATGTTATTTTTCATAGCCCTCTTGCCTTATGTGTAGTATGTGGGGTGAATTAGGTGAGATGTAGTAAAAAGGGAGGATCTGTTTGAAATTCTGGGCTAAAGCTGAAGCCCCTACCCTGTCATAATCGTTTTGGGTAGTGCAGATGATGAAGGAACAAAATAATGATGCCATAAATAATGTAATCTTGGGATTTTCTAAGTTGGTGCTCTTTGAGTTTGTAACCTTAGTGCTCTACATATGATATTTCTAATTATGAGGTTCATAATTCTCAGTGATACTCTGCAAGGAAGATCAAAGGTACTTTGCTGCCACCACAGTCAGCATCTCTGAAGCCTTTCTGCAAAGAGGTTGTGAAACCAGCTCCCTAAGCAGCAGAGCTCTCAGCCATCATCTTCACCAGGAGAAATCCTAATCCCTGTAAGAGTATGTGTAATAAATCTTCATGAAGAAGAGGCTAATGGATCTTATTGCTTTGATTAAATACTTCTCTGTTTCTTCTCTTCGAGTAAAGTTCCTTAAACTCTTTGTAAGAAGGTGGTATTCTCAAACTATGTGAGTAGATAATTTCCAGTGTAGTAGGTTTTTTTGTGTGGGTGTTTTTTCTAGTCCTTGAGTGATGCAGTAGAACCAAGGGATGTATAGGAGGGTAATGCCATTGTTGCTGGGGACTATTGCTCCATATTTATATTCTTGCACTTTTTTATTTGTTTTTCTCATATTTCGTTTATATTCTCAAAAAATGTATGACAGTACTTATGGACTCTTCTCATTCAGAAAGCTTTTAAATTCTACAAAATACCAATACTTCAATAATTTTAAACCTTAAAAATGCTTTATGATGCCAGAACAATTTTTAAATGTTCTTTGTTCTAATACTTCCTAAATCTAACCTTTTAAATTTTATCCATCAAGATATTTTGATCAGAAATAAGTTCCATTCTTTATTTTTTCTTATGTGTTGATCCAATCCTACCTAAGTAATGCCTGAATTGTGTATGTTTACATACATCTTTTTCATGAAGGCCTATGTATTTTTTAGAACCCTCTAACTTTACTTTTTCAACTCAGTTGATATGGTTCAGAGCATATTTTGATTTAGTTAAATTCTGTTTATTCAGGAGATTGGGTAAATTAGCTCTGAAACTCAAGCACCGATTAGTCCAAGGTGTGGTGGAGTTCTGGTGAATGTCCGAGGTGAATGTTTTGGTTTGCTTTTTCTTTCCCCTTTGCTATGTTGAAGATGCACACCATAAATATCTTGTCCTAGTTGTGACAGGATCTTGTTAAGGCACTCTTGCCACTGCTTTTGATGAAATTCTGTAGGGGAATGGCCATCAATATTAATTTTTTGTATTTATTTTTGGATTATTTGATGAACTCTCTTTTGGGAACTAAACCATCATTTTGATTTGTTTCCAGAGGATGGTTAGATCAGTTTTCTCATGCTCAGATTTCAAATGATAGCCTAATCAGTTGAAATTTATGACATCCATGTAATTTGAAGCATTAATGTGACTCACTGGTTCTTTGACAGTACATGTTTCTGTTACCACAAAGAAAAAAAAAAAGCATCCCTGAAACCAGAAGTTGCATAGAGAGGGTGAAGAGATAAGAAGATGCAGGTTCTGCCTTTTGTAATGCAATGTAAAGGCCAGCCATGCCATTTCTCCCCAGCACTTTGGTCCTTACAAAGGCACTTTTCTTCAGCTTTTCCATGATTTGTCTGTTCATTTGGAGGATGGTTTGTGCCTGTGTAGTCTTTGGTGTTTCCCTTTTAAGGATACATTGCCCCTACA